TTTGGAGTACGGTCTTTTGTTACAGGACCCTGTTTCCTTTGTCCGAGTTCGGAGACCCCGGCCACACATATAAACCATACGGCTCCGATTTCGGAGTCCCCGGCTGGTAGTGGTTAATGTTCATGCGCAGTCACTGCCCTTATCGAATGCTTTCTTCTGGAGTTTTGGGAATGAATAGCCATTGAATAGCCAAGTTGCTATTGTATTTTATTGGAATCATTATAATTATGGCATTTATACAGAAGGTATTTTATGAGATCTCTTGAGCACTCCTTGTGATGAAATAGCGCATTTTGTTTGTTATGAACTTAACTTGTCTAGTGATGGTCAACATGTTGGTCAGTCTTAGCCAAATTTGTACAAAAACTTTGAACTAAAAAAAATTACAAACACTGCATTTATAATGGAGCAGCGTATCACAGTAAAAAGTTTATTCACAATGGCAAAAAGTAGATCTGTTAGAGACTTTTCGCTCTCTATTTCCTGGTAACAGTGATAAGTTGTGGTTCATTGCAAACAAAACACACAAAATATTGCTAGGATATTACTGGATAAGTTGAAAGCAGTAATCAGGCATTTGTGGAATGTTTATATTGTTTGTTTGACCGGGTGGCAATGCTCATCGAGCACTTTGAAGCGCCAGAGTTCTAACTCCTGTGTCCTTCCTCTATGGTTAAATTCTGAAGTGGGTAATTTAAATGAAGTAAATCCTTCACATCAAATAAACTTACTTGTACTGAATCAAAAAAGCTGATTTAAATTGAAACAAGTGGACAGAATTGAACATAAAATCTTGCCAACCCAGATTTTGTGTACAATTCGTACTTCTTTAATACTAGGAACTGAAAGGCTCACAGAGGGGGGGGTTGCTGTTTAAAATGTGCAAAACCTGCAAACATTTTCAATCAGTAAAAAAAAATTGAAACATTTTTGCCTTTTTACTAAAAAAATTAAATATGTAGATTTAAATCAGTGATTTTTAAAAATCACTTGATTTTAATCGCACTTTAAATCAGCGATTTAAATCAAGGTGATTTAAATCAGACAACCCTGCAGTGATATCTTTCTTTTGTTTTTATTTTGATCCACCCTATATTCTATGTTCCTTGGTGACATGTTAGAATGGGGTGTTAATATAGACACATGGACAGAAATGAGGTCACAAGGAGCATTTATACACTCTCAGGGACTCTGAGTGACCACAAGCTTGTCCTATTTCCGAAGGCCAGTCAATACGTGTTTTATAATGCACCTCAAACTAGAAAAGAAATCAGACAAGGTCATTTTTTTATTTTAAAGTTAAAAATCGCTTTAGTTTCCCATAACAGCTCTGGGTTGTTTTTTAGTATTCACTTAATATGTCCTGAATTCCGACAAAGTGCACCATGTGCCACTCGCTTATTATAATTAATTCACAAGCAGTTCTACAATTAAAGGATACTGTTGGTTTTCAGCTATACCAGGGGGTAATACTTTTTGAGTATGCAATCTATAAGAGAGTACTGCAGGCAGTCAAACATTTTTTAGACTAGTGCCTGACTGGGTACTAGTCTTTGGAATGTATGCATGTGTGATGTCTTGGAGTGTAATAGCATAATAGTGAACTACACTTGACTGTATTTTAGCCAACTGGGATAAGGAACCAGGAAAAGGTGTGTTATAAAGTTTAATAGTGCTTACTTAAAGCAACCTCGTTTATATTTTTCAAGATGAGTTTCGCAACTCCAAATTTGAAAAAATAAAATCAGAAACACACATACACAAACATTAAAACACTGTAGCGATGGCACCGACAGGCCAGTGGGGGTGATGGTGTCGCTCTATGGGGCTGTGCCAGTCCCTGCTGGCTGGCTTTGGGCCAGCCCCTGCGGCCCTGGCACAGTAGCCTTTTGGGGAATTTTTCCTATACATAAGTTTCGCGCCAGTTCTGGCAGACATGTTTTCAGTATGTTTTGTTCCAGTGCAAATGCAAGAGGAGATTCAGTTTTGCTTGTACTTTGTATAAAACTTCCATGCGTGTTTGACTGGTTTTGAGGAATAATAAAGGCCGGAAGCCAATGGACAAGATTACAAGCGTTTGTGACCTTTTTCAAACGTGTGCGAAACCCACAAAAAAGTGGCGACATTACAGTACAATAATTACCTAGTTCCACATTATTCTGGCGATTAAAACATGTTCATTCAGTGAATGAGAAGACACACTATTCAACTGCCATCTTTTTGTTAGAATTGCCCCCCATTTTTGCTGTTTTTACCTGTAGTTTCCAAGTGCCCTCCTTCCCTAGCCCCAATGTCATACATAGTGGGCTAGAGGTCATTCAGCAGCACAGGTCATTAGCCCTTTTCCTTGGGGTTTCTGTATGATTGCATGCACATCCATCCCAATAAATGACTTCTCCACTTTGATAAAGTCCATAAGTTTTAATTACTTTTGCTTTAATGATGTAGGCCTACAAATTTGTTTTTTCGCATGACACTCATTATCCTTTTGAACCCCTATTTGATCAGGTTCCTTCTATCTTTTATAAAAAACATTCACAAACTATTTCATTCAAATTATTATGAGGTGTTTTACCTCCGGCGGCTAGTCTTCTGGCACTGGGTGCCTCTACAGACATACTGTGGCCAGTCCCATCCTCATCATAACTGACAACAGTCTACCAATACCCGAGTCCAACAAAAATTGAATATAGGCCAATATGCTGAACATCACCAACAAAATTGTCACTATGAGACTTCATATTTTTCCATGTTTATAGCAGTTGAGAGAAAAATTAATGATGCGCGGCTTACCAACAGAACAAAAATTACTAAACAGCAATTCAGGGGGTTATGTAACTGGAGTGAAATCATTTATCAGAATAATGGAATAACAAGCTTTCTGTCAACATTCTTCAACAGTTATCTGCAAAAGATTTCCACATACGGACAACATCCAGAGCCCCTATGCATAAACCTGAGACTGAAAAAGCAGCGTTCTCTAAGTAACACTCCAGAATGTTCAAAGCTTAAATTCACTTTATGGAAATGACATCACTTTCTGATGACTGATATAACTTTTCAGGGAAAATTAGTGTTGCCCGTACATGGAATTTTTTCCATTATGTGGTTATGTGGTATTTTAGCTGTAGTTCAGGGACCCTCAATTGATATCAGGCTATGCCTTCAACTTGACTGGGCACCAGTTCAACTTTTTGAACATGTTGAAGCAGGACTTGAATTCAGGAGATAAGATCAATTGTAAAGTTTTATGAAACATCCCTGATCTTAAGATTGATTGCTGTATTCAGTGCACAAATTGTGACAAATTTACCTGTACAGTTTACATGCAGTAACTTTGCGGCTTGTACTCCTCTTCATGGAATTTGAGATTCATCAGTTGCACGACTAATGTACAGTTTGTGCATGCATTTGTAGGCCTATCAAATTTTGTCTAGCGTAACCTAGAGTTAGGCCTACATGTAGGACTAGGCCTATTCATAGAGCCTGGACTATTGAACATCAGGGTCTGTGCGGTCGAATACTAAGGTTCCTGGATATATTTTCCGAAGAACATAATTTCTCATTTCATTATGATCATGGCATAGTTAGTACTTACATGTATGTGTCCACATTATCTGCCATCGTGTTTTTGCTGAAGCAGATGACAAACAAGCTGGCCAAGCACTGATTCCGCATTCGATCCACCAGACACCCTGTTCCCAAAGCAGGGTTTCTGGTGGCTGACCTGGGTGAGCCAGGAGTATGATGTCACAGCTAAAAGAAGGACTCAAGGCTGACCCATGGCACCCCAAGGAAGCTAAACAAACGCACCCATAGTAAATCACATGATGACATCACGATTTGGCACACATCTTTAGAATAATAATCTAACTATAAGCCAGATTTTAAGGGGATTGGCCCCAAGGAAGGGGCAAAAGTCATGTATAGAGCAACCCCTGATATGTCTATTGGCAAAAGTGGGAAAAAAATAATAAAGTAAAATCAAAATAAAAAAAAAATTAAGAAGCACTAAAGGTGTTTCAGCCGGTGCCTGAAACAGCAAAAAACAATGACAAATATACTGCCCTTTTCACAAATTACAAAAAAGCCCAAAAAATCTTGACCAAAAGAATGTCTTTTGTGCAAATATGCCAAAAAGCCAACTCCCGAACAACTTCTGACAATTTGACACAGAATCAACGAGACTGTTTTCCGCGGTGTTTTGGGTTCTCAGGCACCCCTGGGGTTCAAGCAGCCAACTTGGAGAGTGAAAGTTCGACACTGGGCATTTTCCATAAGTATTTTCCAGAGGAACTCATCACTGGCAAACCATATAAAACCAAAGGTGTGGGAAATTTCTTTAGGGAGGTTCTGACTGGGACAGACCTGGGAACATCTAAAGGCATGGGATTTTTCCATTCTTTTCATTCTGTACGTAAGTTTTTGGATCTGTTTAAGACATGGGTCAACCTGTTCCACCCATTCCTTTTTGCTCTAGATTTGTACGTTCTTGTGCATGTGGCCAGGGCATTTCTTTTCTTTTACAGGACTGTTTTTGGGGAGGGCGTCGCCCACATTTGGGCAGGGGTTTGAACTGTTAAAGCCCACTTGCATTGATCTATACATTTGGAATTAGTGGACATGTACAGGAATATGTGGGTCTTGTTGTCTCGTTGTGCCCTGTTTAAAACAGGGAGCAACTAGCCTTTTAATTTTATTGTATATACTCATTTTGGTAAATTTTGCTGACATTTGATAAATATTGAAATAAATACTTTAAGCCGATAAAAGTCTTCTGCAGCAAGGCAAGTTAGCCTGTTTATACTTTTAGTGGTTCATTTTGAGTGGTTTCCCTTTGTTAATTAGTTAATCGGAACCCACACTTTTATACCGGCAGGGTCCTGTTGGGATTTCATTACAACATTGCTCTTACCCAATCTACTAACTTACCATGTATAACAGCTGCATGACTTTGATGTGTCTATTTCCAACAGCCATGTACATTGGCCAGTCCCCTGTTCCAGTTAATGGGTTGACATTGTCCCCATCTTCAAGAGTACTATAGAGACGGTCAGCATCGCCATTCATTGCACATTCAAAAAGTGTTGGATTAACGATACTTTTCTGGCGGCGATATATTGCCTCGTGAATTATACTACAGATTTCAGGATTCTCTGCATACTTCTTTGCTGTTTGAAGACCCTAGAAGAAAGACAAATCAAACAATCAGTTATGAAGGGATTCTTAAACCCCTTCCCTCCCCTACAGAAATGTGTGTGAGGTCTGCTATTGAATACCTATCCCAAACAGTTGCTGCATATGCAAATTTCCTTTGTGTCTAATTCTGTTTGCTAAAAAATTGATCAGCCGTAGTGCGCCTTCTATACCAGTGATGCATAGTGGAGCCACTGCCACGATCATCCCTCTTTTTCAGTATGGAACCATCCAAGCCTGAAGTGGGGAGGATGGGAGGGAGCCGACTGTTTGGGACAAGTATTTGATAGCAGACCTCTTCCACATTTCTGTGGGAGAGGAGTCTTCTGCTTTCATCCTATCCCAAACTGTTGCTACATATGCAGAGTAGCCTTGATCCTCGGACGGGGTAAGGTGAGGACGTACTATGTTAGGGAGAGAGGTGTAGGGTTAAAAGTGAGTGCATAATCATAAAAGGCAAGAAGATGTAATGTGGACTCCCCTGAGAAAGGAGCTGTTATTTATCTGTTATGGTATTGATGTTGCCGATGTAAGGATCACCTTACCACGGCCCAGGAAGTGGATATGGCTTGGACGTCACAGGCCCTGATGAGGTGTTGAGTCTGATTGTCAGAAGTGTCCGGCCAGTAAGGCTTTGTGAATTTGATGGCCAAAACTGCCCATCTGGCTGTAGTGTCTGTGGCTTAATGGTTGTGATTAACAGCTGCGATGTTGTGCCTCTCAGTTTCTTGGTTTTGGCTAGATACCATTTGAGAGCTCTCACCAGGCACTATGGCTTCTCATATGAACTTCTGGCATGTTTGACAATGTGCAGGATAAATGTCAAGAGAGTGAAAGGAGGCTAACTGGTTCTGGTGAGGAAACCCGGGGCTGGAATGAGGGGCACACTGTGAGGTTCCCATCTGATGTGGCCATTGGTGGTGGATAGAGTTTTCAGGTCACTGCGTCAGTGTCAAGTGGTATTAACTGCCAGGAGGAAGGCCACCTTCACTGTTGTGTGTAGTAATGACGCTTCGCTAAGGGGCTCAAAAGGGAGAATGGCAAGTAGGTGGAGGACGGTGGATATATACCTGCAGGAAGGAACCAGTCACTTGGTAGGGGGATGCTCTATAAATATTCCCTGTCTGTCTGAGGGTATCACTGTCTGATGAGTTGAGCCATTGGGAAAACCATTGTGTATGGCTGCAATGGCAGATAGGCAATTGCCGATAGTTGTACGGGGAGAATTCCTTTTTTAACCGGCGGTAACTTGGGGATGAACCTCGGGATGACTCGGGGTTTGACACCATGCATAAGTACGATACACTCATGAATATTTGGGTCAACTTCAGCTCAGATTTCCCCTGGTTGTTTGCAACAAAAGAGCTAAGTTGGAAGGGGGAAAGTATCTTGAACGAAAGGCTACTTTGGTGGTATAATTAGAGGATTAACCACTTGCTGCCGGGTGGTTTGAAAAATGCAGTGCACATAGTCGGGACTTTTTCAAGATTTTCAGTTTTAAAATATCTTCAGAAATTCAACTTTTCAATTAATGGATGCTTACACCCACAAGAATTACTGTGTGGTGGCCACTCTAGTCTGACAGACAAAATCTATTGACGCCCGAGTATTTCAGCCAGGCCTGCAGCCTTGTAAAAACAGTCCAGATTGTGTGGTGTTATATAACTGTCTTTTGTTCACGAACCTGGCACAGTGCGCTGCTGACCTCTTTTCAATAAGGGCTATAAGATTAGTGTGCAGCGGTGCTGTGTGGCTCATCGCTGCGTTGGTGGATCACTTTTGTCCCGGTGGTAATCTGTTCGCACTAAATGCCCCAAACTGTGGTATACTGATTCAAAACATGGCTTGATTATCTCCACTATTGAGAGTGGAAAAATGTCAGTAACGCCCAGCAGCCTGGTCTTTTGTTCCAAGTACGGTCTTTTGTTACAAGGCCCAGTTCCCTTTGTCCGATTTCGGAGACCCCGGCCACACATATAAACACACGGTGACCAAAACCGAAGTCCCCAGTGGCAAGTGGTTAAAGGATTGGTGGTATCACTTGTCAGTGTTGATAAACACTATCTTTGGGGACTCAGCCTCATAAGTTTTGGAATTCTTATAATATCTGTGGATATTTTCATTATATTGGATATCTCCTGCTTTTGTCGATTCATTTTATTTTTTGAACGGTTGATGTCGGTAAAAGAACAATGAACAACTGATATTGACTTTTTTGGTGGAGAGTTTCAGACCAAGTGACCTACAGTACATGTACTGTGTGCTACCCTGGTCTGATGCATGCCAACAAAGGTTTGGGGCTTTGAATGAAGATGGTGAAGCCTACTTACATGGGATTAAAGGATTTATGAGAGATGCTGGCATTGCCCAAAAGGATTTGGAAAGTGCTTGATGGAAAATTGCCTGATACATATACATACTTTTTTGTAGTGTCTCTTAACAAATATCACTCATTTCTCTTCAGTTTCTGCCGTCCTTGTTTTAAATGTTTATTTCCTTCATTCTCCAGGATTAACAGAAATGACGAGTTGAGAAGAAGCATTGGAAAGACGATTCATTGTTGTTGTGTCGCGTGAATAAATATTGAATAAAAAGATCAAAGTTGAATAAAAGGTTATGTGTTTTCCGTAATTTTCTAAATAAAGGCCGTACAGAGTATTAATGCACCAAGCAAAAATTTCCACATTCAAATTTAAAGTCGGTGTATCCGCTGTAGAATATAAGCCACACTGCGTTGTTGACATGTCGAAGTCATCACACGCTGTGCACCGCTGAAGTGCCAGTATATGTAGAGTATTACGAGACACCTTCTAGTGAGGCATTTGAAGAGTTCATTTTGCACTTTGGAAAAAAGTCGGCAAATAGGGCCAAAATAAAATTGCATCTGAACTATGTGGCAGGTATATGACATCGAGTAATGAATCAGAATATTTGAACTTCCGTTAATTTCCCCTTTTTGTAAAATTGGAGGAAAAAATCTCAAAAGAGGAAACTAAAAGTTAGCTTTGAAAAAGTGGAGTGCCCAACTTTAGGGTTTGTGTCACTATTGGGTATGACATCTTCCATTGTTATTTCTAGCGGCAAACGAACAAGTTTGACATTAAATCTAAACTTTCTCAAGCCCTCAAAATTACCAATTTTGAGGGCTGGATGAGCGTTCTTGCTGGGTGAGCCATGCAGCAGTTTGTTTGTTCTTTTATTTATCAGTCACCAAATGACCAGTGAAACAATAAACAGCATGGATTGCACAACCTTAAAAGACAAACAAGATTTGTGAGGTGTGTATTAACGTTACATTCACAAGTCTATTTAGTCCCTCTGGACTGGTTTCCTTTGTATCAAACACACAGAAGAGCAAATGTATACGGCAACCAATGAAAGACAAACTGTGTGGCTGGCTGATGTGGCCAGTGGCTTGGGCTATGCTGTGTTATGCGTGGAGGCAGGGCACGGCAGGGCATTTACATTTCATGTTTCAAATGTTGTCGTATGAGCCAACCAGTGTATGAGCGGCAGGGACATTTTTCATTGTGAAAATCAAAGTATAAGCTGCGGCTTATATTCCGAAAATTATGGTACTCATTGGCTCTGCATACTTTGGTCTCTGGACCAAGTCAACCTGCATTCATTGTACCAAACGGCAAGTACATACAGGCCTACACGTAGTTATAACAATTCACGTGCAAAGAAAAGTAACAGTTAGTATAAAAAGTGTCTCGATAATTATCAATCATTCAAAACCAGTATCCCAGGTCATACAGTATACACTGTGCGGGTTTTGAGTGTTCCTCCCCGAAAAGTTCCTTTCAATTTAGTGGCCTTTGAATTCACCATGGACACTGCAGATTAACAGGAGATTAGGGTGTAATCAAGCATTTCTATTGTGTGTGCTTGTAGCCGGATGAAGCGTCCAGGTTTTGACGACCATAGAGCTTGGTGTGCATAGACCCAAAGATGATGAACTCATTACAGAGAACCCCTGGCGGCACTGCGAAAAACCCTGAGGTACCGTAGGGTCAACCTCGAGGTACTGCTGGGTTAAAAAAGGAATTCTCCCCTTACCTGTAGGGCCAATTTGAACGGATACATGAAGAAATCACCCACAGTGGTTACAGGAACTTTGTTCTGCACACCATGAATTGAAATGTTGTAGTCTGCTGCTGTAGATGCTGTGTGTCAACTGACATTGACTTCTCGCGGCCATCTGGGCATCTTCCTCAAAAAGGGATTAGAATGATCATTTGACCAACGTCAACAAGTGAGGTACGGGGATACTGGTACATTGGACTTCAGCTGGTGGAGGAAGTCTGGTCTAGTGGGTAGAACGAGCAGTGTCTGGAAGAGCAGTCCGGATAATCAGGGAAACCCGGCCTGGCATGGCCAGAACGGGGTGATGAAGAGAACTTGACATTGTTCCTGCTCAATTTTGGAGAGGACTTTTGAGATCAAGGATATTGGTGGAAAAGCTTAGGCCAGCATCCTGTCCCAGTTGATCTGGAGAGCACCTGTCAGCCGGGCCTGCGGGTGATGAAAATCTGCTGTAGAACACCTGCAGTTTGGCATTCTCCACTGAGGTGAATAGGTCAATGTTTGGCTTTTTGACTTCAGCAGATTTGCTCTGTCATGCTGGGATGCAGTGTCCATTCTGTTGATTGTACTTTTCCCTGAGAGAGTGCGTCTGCAATCGAGTTGTTGTCTTTCACAATGTGACTCACTTGGAGCTTGATTCCTTTGTCTTGCATCCACAGGAACATGCGTCTGGTCAAGAGGCATAGACAAGGTGAATGAGTGCTTCCTTGATGGTGGATATAAGCCACTACTGTGGTGTTGTCCGAGTGTATCAGTACGCATTTGTCTTTGACACTTGTGAGGAAGTGCTGAGGCGCATTGACTGCTACTTGTAGTTCCAGCACATTGATGTGATTCCCTAGGAATTGGTGTTTCCACATTCCTGGGATGCCTGGAGTGGAGGTAAGGAAACTCCTAAGCCAAGGTGGGATGGGTCAGTGGTTATTGTCACTTCCGGGTCTGCTTTTGGAAAAGAGATCCCGAGAGAAAGATGTCTTCTTACCAGCCACCACCGGAGGTGGGGGCGGATAAAGTCCCATTTGGGCCTGAAGAATGACAAGAGATGGAGTTGTAGTGGTCGCACGTAGGGTAGGGGCCAACTGACCAGAGGAAAAAAGATTAATGCATTCCAGGGGGTTGTTGAAGTGTTCGGTGGTCGGTGAAATTATACCCTGTTGTAGATCGAGGACCGTCCCCAGATATGTCAGGTGTTGGGTGAAAGTTGGCCTTGTTTTCTCATGATTGATTAGGAACCCTAGGCATCTGGTAAGGTCAGAGGTGAGGCAAATAGAAGGCGCTATTTCATAGAGAGTCCTGCCAACAATGAGCTAGTTGTCCAGATATTAAAACTGCTTCCAGAGGTGGACGGCAACAATTTTTACTACTCGTGTGTAGACTCTTGGAGAGGTGGACCAGCCAAAGGGAAGGGCCATGAACTTGAATAACTTCCTGTTGTACAGAAAGAGGAGGAAATTGTAGTCTTCAGGGTGGATTAGAATGTGGACATAGGCATCCTTCAGGTCTACAGATGATGCCCTGGAAGGGATGGTAAGAGACTGGGTTACCCTTCGGAGTGTCTCCATACGGAATTTCCTCAGGCTGATGAACTTGTTCAGAGGTTTGAAATTTATTAAGGGGCTCCATTAACTGGGTTCCTTTTTCGGGGTGAGGAAGAAAGAGGAGACAAAGCACTCACTTTCAAGAGACAAGGGAACGAGGTGGACAGCTTGCTTCAGGACGAGAGCCTCTATTTCAGACTCTAGTGCCTCTTGTTTGTTTCTCTCGGGATTGGAGTTGGGCAGAGAAGTGGCACAGACGGAGGGGTGCTTGTGCATTTGAGGGAGTATCTGAGGGAGATGGTCACAAGCACCAAACTGTCAGATGTGATGTTTCTCCAGAACCCTGCAAAAGCTTGCAGGCAGCCCCAGACGGGGTCGGGGGTTGCTCCGTGTAGACAGAACAATCGGGGGGTACTACTGGTTGGACTCCTTTCCCTCGCTGCACTTCTGTGTTGACTTTGTAGATTAGGCAAAAGAGGGACTCGACTGTTGAATGGGCAGATGAAAGGAGTGAGAGGGACCAGAGACCCTATGGTGTGAGGCAATTGGGGGGCCTGGACTCGATGGTCACCTGCACGGTGCTGACGCTGGGTTGGAGGAGGGGGAAGTTTGAGAAAGGTAAGCTTGTAGGAAGTGTCAAGTCCCTTAGCCTCGGCCTCCAAAGTTTCAACAAATTTCCCGGTGAACACATCCTTGCTATAGAGCAGGAGATCTTTAAATTGCTTCCTTCATTAGAAATATTCATGGTGGAGAGCACGTTGGATCTTTTGGCAGATGTAGCCAGTTAAGAAATCTGTGCAAATTGCTTGAAAATAGTTTTGATGTTTTCATCAAGAGCTCGGACTGCAACAGCTGCAAGGTTTGTAGTAACAGGCGAGTTTTCTTTGCAGGCAAGTGCCAAGTATTCAGAAGGGATAGAAAGGTGGAGCAGCAGAGACTGTGATGGGAAGCTTTGTTAAGGTTGATCAAGGTAGTGTCATAATTAAACTTGTCCTTGTCTTAAAAAGGTACCTCCGGACTGATCTGGCAGTGTCACAAGCCATCTTAGCTCTAGTAGTGATGGGGATGTTGGAGACAGAGATGAAATTATCAAAGTCTGCTCGGGAAAACTGAAAATAGGATGACATCCTGGAGGGGTATGGGTGCCAGTGCTTTGCTTCAGAGAGGACTTTGAGCATCTTGACACATGAGCGGTCCAACGGTAGTTCCAGAAAGAGAGACGTTAAAGTCACTAGTCAAGCAGGGTAGTGTTTGTAGGAGACATAAGATGGGGGCTCAGCCTGGGTAGAATTAAAGGGCAGGCCCAAAATTTGGATCATGTCTCACTGAAGAAGACAGAGAGGTGCTTCAAGGGTTGTGAGACTAGCTGCAGAAGTGATATCTTCATCTTTGGAGGACATGCCGTGTTTGACATATAACATATCCGTTAGAAACGACGCTAAGAAAAAGAAGGACAATCATGGTGGCTACTCTGCTATGCATCATGGGTATAGAGGTTGATCAAGTTTTTAGCAAAGATAATTGGACACAAAGGAAATTTGCATGTGTAGCGACAGTTTGGGGTAGGATGAAAGCAGAAGATCCTGTTACTAAATTTCCTGCAATGTGGATACTTTTATTTTTCCTTTGGAAAGCAAGTTACCTTTTAGCAATAGGTAAAATCTTTGTGCAGTAATCATGAGATAATCAGTAATCACCAGATTGCCTGTAATATAAGAAGCTCTATTTTTACGGACCCACTTGCAGGTAACACAGTAACACTGAGTAGAGAAATATGATGCCAAATAGTTCAGTTTATCACTGCAAGATATGATACATCATTCTCAAGAGACAGATGTTGGACCCTAAACTCTCTTTGAATCAGTAGATCAACGGTTGTAATAATGAAGCACCAGCAAATTGTTTGCAGCAGCTGGTTGTCCTTACCAGCATGTAGCCATGGTATGTGGCTGGTTAAGAGAGTAAAATGATACAATGTCATATTCTGCAATCCTGTGCTTATGGAGTGCAAAAAGCCACTCTGGCTTAGTTTGTTGAGACCACTACATCATGTAAAAATTCTTCTAAAAGATTTATTCCTGCTCTTCTCTCATTCATTTCAGGAGTGTTTTGTGCTCATGTCACTGTTCGGTGAATTGTTTCCAGTACTTGTGTCATACCACTTGTGGTGGTTATATTTGGAATTTTAGTCAACATGTATATCTGTTCGGCTGTATTGGGTTGGGATTGTCCCAACGCATAATTTGGTAATGCCAACATACATGTACATTGTATATCACCAGAGTCTTAATTATGGGAGTTTTCTTTTCTCAGCCTAGACAGCGTATCCACGTATCACCATATAGAAGTATATGTAACTTGGAGGCTTTTCAGCATTTACAGCTTACTATCGTGTATTGACATGCAGCAATGATGTGTGGGATGCAGTATCCATGTGAGCTGGTTAGCTTATTTGTATTCTTGGCTTGGCTGTGCCAACAATGTCCAGATCCTAGGATTTCTCAAGTTACACGCAGGTTGGTGGGACATCATGCGAGAGTTTTGCAAATTAGACTAGATAGAGCCCTCATTGTGGGCCCTTTTGTTGATGTGCGAGAATCAAAGATTTTGCAGGTTTGGCCTTTGATAATCGTTAAACTCTGGCTAACTAGACATGGTCCAGGTTGTAAGGGGAAAAAAATGCACCAACAAAAGGGCTCCTAAGTTGAAAAGGTTATATAGGCCTATACTCAAGTTAACTTTTTCCATAAAACGTCAAAATGGATTTCATATACTTTGACGTTTGGCAAAGAATTAGTGTTGACAGGGGCCCTAAGATAAAAAAAAATTAATGGATCAAACAGAAAAATTTGAGGCGATAAAATTATTTGATATTTTACACGTTGTCAGGGCCACAACTTCAGTTATGCTTACTTAGCCAATACCCAATTGCTTAATGAGCATCACATCATTTCCAACTGTGCACACACATGGGCTGACACTGAAAGAGGTTTTGTTGCACACTTTTGTAGCTTTTTCATAGTTGAATGTGCTGATAATTTTCAATAAGCCATTTTTTTTATCCTATTGCACTTTATTTTTTATCACACAAAAGGTTGTCTGAGTCCTCAGGTGTTTACCCAGTTATCAATGATTTGTTTATAAAAAAAAAAGCTTGATGAACAGAAACTGATAAAGAATTCATTGATTAGCCAATAGGTAAACATTTTACACAAATAAAAGTTGAAAGTGTCAACTGCTCGGTAAAGGCGATTGTTGCATGGTGAGTCTTTGTATTATATATGTAACTGTGTTCACTTAGTATTTCCATTGTTCAGTTCTTGGTAATCTTCTTGGTATTATACATGTCGGATTTGGACTTCGGTACTCAGACTCTGCTCAGTGCTTGGCCTTGAACATCTCCTACTTGGTGCTTTGGACTCGGACTCATCACCAGTGTACTTGTACTCAGCCCAGGACTCAGCCCATAAAGTAATCAGAGCAATCTGTACTTGGATTTGAGAACTAAACCCAAACACTGATACTCACCGTGAGCCCCTTAGTGGTACTGACAATCAGTTGAGCACACTGTACATGTCCATGAAGACAAGCATAGTGAAGTGGCAACATTCCGTTTGCATCTCTAATTCCTGGATGAGCACTGTATCTTAGCAAACTCTGAACTGCATCGGCTTTTCCTGACATAGCTGCCCAAGACAGTGCAGTTCGTCCAAACTATTAAAGAAATGGATGATTTTCAATGACATTGTGCAAATATGGAAATAATGCAACTAAAGAGAAATAAAAGTGCAGACTCTCACATGATTCAGAAAGTCATAAATGTAATTCTGTGAATACGCGCACAAAAAAGGGTTTACCAGACAGCGGAAACGTGTATTGGGTAAACCGCATCCGCAATGCCTTAAGTGGTATCATTGACCTGTGAACGTGAGAAGGGAAATGCTGCACACTTACACACGCGAACTGCATTCCGTTTGCCGCAATTAAATGCATGTTGGCATGTCTTTAAAATCGTGGCGTACGTGTTAAACCCCTATTAAATTCACGATCCCAATGTTAAAAATCCAATCACAATGCACAACGAACTACACTGAGTTGTCCAACCTGCAATAATGAGCGTAAAATAATTCTTTCGATATCAATCAGTGCAGATATTACTGTCACTACCAAGCAGTCTGTTCACGAAGAGTGCTGGCTTGATTTGATTCAGCACAACTGATTCACGAAATCTCATGAAATGGAATTAACGGTCCACCTTTTGTTTAAAAAGATATCTCTGCTGCCCCGAAATGATCTGGATTGTATGGGATCATCAGGAATACCGATGCCACTTTCCAGACAGGTCAACTAACACACAGATAGAAAAATTAAGCATTAACATTCTTTTCAAGAAAATGTTGGTCAAGGTACAAAAAACGCTCGTGGCACCCTTTTTATGTAGGGCCTGCTGTGGAACGCCCTGACGAAAATTGTATGCCTGCGCTACAATTTTCACCGCCCCGATTTTATCCACTGGATTTTCCCCCCATTCTGCTGTCCTAAGTTTTCAAAGTACGAAGAGGTTTATTGTGCAACGTTGGAATGAACACAAGGAATTTGTCGGCATTAATATTGGGAATTTTGCAGTACCGTCTCTATATGTGGACAAAAAAACAGTAAGTCCCATGAAAAACAAAAAATATTTTCGTAGTTTCGGATCGCAAAACTCCGACTACGGACGGACAATCCATAACTTAATCGCTCACCTTGTGTGAAGGAGATACTTTTCCAAATTTAAAGCTTTTAATTTGAGATAAACAGGATTGTCGAAAGCGCCGCTGCCATTTTCTGGATTGGTTTATAATTATCTGGATCAGCAAGTTTGGACAAAAAATCAAGCTAGAAAGTGAGAAATCCTATCAGTCAGAACCACCTAACAAAAGCAGATTTTCTGGCAAAGCATTTAATTTGGTCATGTAACGAAATTTTATAGACTCTAAAACAAAACTCAATTGCGTGTATGTTTTTAAAAAATTCACAAATATTATGTACAATGGCTTAACTATGGACACGGCCCTTCATCTGAATCAGTGGTACAGTGTAAGAACAAGCCACGTGGAACAGGCATGGACAGACTACCACCATACCACCAATTGACCAATTACGTACCTGCATAGCCCTGACGTCACACAAAATTGATTGTGCACGTGTAGCTGGGTAGGCAATATGTATTGCGAACATTAACAAGGCCAGAATGTCAGTGTTTAGGACAAATTAAAGTAACATTTTTAACTTATAGCCATTTGATTCGATATTCATTCACTTTGACGCATGGAGAGCCATCGTTTTCTTAAATACGAGTTTCCTTTCCCTCTGGATAAATGTTAATCCACGCTGCGTCCGGGCTTTTCACCGGTACTACATGTATATTCGCCTCAAAAATAAATTAAAAAAGAATCAAAATCATGCCTGTCAAAAAACGACTTCTGATAGCCAAATGCACCTCCCATAAACTTAAATCTTGTAGATTTGTTTTTAAGAGCCTGAGGAAAGTGGCCAGGAAACGCCTCAGTCCACATTTCCCTGGGCACCCTCACCAAAAGCAATGCATCACGTTTCCGACTGAAAAAAATGCTAGATTTTCACTGTCTTTTGCGACGGGCGTAGTCTAAGCCTGGCATAAAAATTGAAGAACGGGTTTCAACGTTATGGAGTCTTCTCATAATCACCTATCTGAAAAGAATTTCCAGGGAATGTAGTCTGCAAAATAAACACCTAGTTTTGTTTGACACTGCGTTGGCCCGCATGGTGCCGTTATTGATTGGCACCCGGTACCGAGACAGAGTGTATAGATGGCTAATCAGGCCCAGTGGGACCAACTTACATTTAACTTGTTTTAGTCCTTGCATTTTGTGTTTTGTCCATTATGTAGGGCCCCTCCGAAAGCTGAGAGAAAGTTTTAGGAAATTCCCCCCCCCCAAAAAAAATAGTCTTTCCCCGTATGTTTGCCTCATGCACTTTCCCTGTGCTCTTGTGGCTAGCACATGCTCACTTTTAGCCTGTACAGTTGGTCAGCTGGGCAGTGACCCAGTTGCCATGGTCACTTCCTTCTGATTGGCTAAGGCACCCAGCAGGAAATGGAACTTCACCCTCTTTGTTCACCTTGGCGGTCTCAAGCATTCCTTGATGAGCAGCCAGTGATTAAAGACGTTGTCCAGTTTTGCAACAATTACTGATGTTTGCATAACTTTGCTCATTTTCAGATTACCTTTCCACCAACCCCTCGGGGCTGGCTTACAATTATCTGAAATGAAACATTCACGACTTATTTCTCGCTGAAGAAAACACATATATAATATTAATTCAATTTGAATTATGATTTCTATACACCGCTGCATATTCACCAATTTCTATGTACATGGTCCTCAAATCACAAATGTGGGAAACCAGGTGAACTAGAGCAAGTTGTATCTGTTGCAATTCAAAATGGCGGCGTGTGTTTTTTTTTTACTGCGCGGCGGCAATCCCACTTTTTTTGCAATACTTTATTGGGCATACTCCGGGCCAATTTTGGGACATAATAGCTATCAATCTGTATTCTTTCTACAAAGCCTTTGCAAAGCGACATGTGGCTCTGGACTACAACTTCAATGAGCGATTGTCCATGTGACTCCCAGGCGAATAGTCATCTACCGTACATGCGCTAGTTGCCCATAAAAGTAAATGTATTTTGGAAAGTTCGGCCTTTTCAGTCATGGCCACGGTAGGAAAAATACTGCTTTTAATTTGATAACAGATATTGACTATTTTCTACATGATTTTCAGTTTAATTCAGAACATCTTAAACTCTTGTCATGGCCGACATGTAAGAAACTTGGGCAATAGTTCTGCTGGTAAGTTGATTGTTTTTTTGTGTGCATGTATCGAGCTCATATTTTAAAATTAGTTTAATTAGCATGTGCAATTCTTTACAAATCTGTTTATCATTCTTCCATTTAGGTGACAAGCTGGCTCATTAGGAAAAGCAGCCTTGATGATTGCCGAGATGCAGGGCAGCTAAGAGACAAAACAATATAGGATCAAAGTCAAGAAACACTTAAAATGGACTTTTCTGTAATTTCTGAATTTTTCTGCTATGAAAAGAGAACAAATGTTGTGTGGCGTTAGTTTTACTTGAGTAAGTTTATTGAAATAAGTTTAATGACAGATAAATGAACAATTGTGGGATTGATGTCTCTTAAATAAAATATATGAAATATGAAAATTCGGGGATGGGGGAAAGGGGTCGATGTGGGCGGTGACATAAAAATTTATTGTGATCAGCTAAAAAACACTATTTTCAGACCATATTGCACGTACGTGTAGTTATGTGGACGTACTCAATGAGTTTCAGCCTATGTATATTTCCTTTATTTGCAGAAAGTGGTTCATCGTTACTTTTGTGGCCAGCAGATTTCTTATCTTATTGCAAATTTCTTCAGCTAGTATGTGTCATTGACTTGTATGTACTTTTTTTGCAAAGCATTGACTGTATGTTCAAGATTTCATTGTGACAAAAGGCTTCTGAAAATGGTTGTAATATTTTTCCCTCTTAAATTATTTCATTAAACTTGAACAAGCATTTTTGCCAAATAAAAGCCAAAGCTAGGGCTAGCAGCTTCATCCAGTCCTTCAGCATTTCTATTGAACATCTGTGTCACAGGAAGAGTTCGAGGGTTTATAATCCTAAATGAAAAAAGGTAAGTCAGAGAAAGGACAGCATATATATTATTGCCACATCTTTTAAAACCGCACCTTAAAAAGTTAAAATTTACCTTTAGCCTAAATTTCTGATTCTGAGCATACAAAAATTAGTTGAGCACTAACAGTTCTTTCATAAAAATGGTGCAGCTCTTATTTATCACAGTAAACGCTGAGCTTAACTCTGAACTTCCAAGAGTGATTCGTGAAAGGGCCCTTCTCCATTCTTGCTAATTCCAGCTCTTGGCAGTGTCAAGTGTAATAAACAGGCGACAAGGAAAAACCCCAAAGGTGATAGCCTCTGGATCATTAGGAGAAAGTTGCTTGTTTCAACGAGACAGGTTTGAATTAAATACATGAATTCTGGTATCTTTTCATCACTAGAAATTTAAAAACGGAATCAATGAACGTATGAACCTGGTATCTTTTATAAATTCTTTTAATACCCAGAACATGGAAGTTTCTCAAGTCATTTACAGCGTACTAGCAGGGGCTCAATACCACAAACTAAACCATGCTATGCACACGTACTCATGATTCCTTGGCCCATAAGGATTGTAAGGAACTTAGTTAACAGTTTCCCCTGTGAGAAGAAAGGCCGATGGAATTTTGAATGCTCTATTAAATATGTAAATGAAAAAAGAAAGAAAGAGCTTTTCGTTTATTGAAGTGAGACAGTAGGTTTACAATTTCCATGAAATTCGCCGGACTACGTGGCAGACAAGAAACCAGGCAAAGCCAATCGTTTGCGAAAACAGTTACCCAGAAAACTCGGCCAGATCTTGCAACAAAGCCTGATATAGTAGTGACAAGATTTGCATCGCTTCACATTTTATCCTGTGCATAAAAATCTGTGTAAATTTTTCATGTTTGCATTGACGGTAAACGTGTATTTTAGGATTAGATAATAGTTTTCATAGAAGTTTATTGTTGGGAATTTTCATCCAATTTTCTCAAATGTTTGGGAGTTCATAGGACCTGGGCGCTAAAAACAATCCTTTTGTACATTTTTTTCCCTTTCCTTTGGGAGTTGTTGAATTTTTGTTTCGATCACGGACTGTTTTGTTCTCACACAAGACACTGAAATATTGTCTGTGAGGCATTGTCATGTTTCTTTGCACTGAATATGAGCTGATAAATATGTGAATTTGACACCAGTTTGCTGACTGCTTATTCGTGTATCGTGTTTGGTGACGCACGCGGGGATTGTGGTTGACTTTAATTGGCTCAAGTTGGTTGGGGCTTAGAGGTCTATCCGGGCTAACCGCAACTGCGTGTATTGCGTTCTTGCACACACGTTATAAAGAGCGTGTCTTCCACTCTCTATACACGCACACACGCAATATCGTGTAAACCTTTACTCTGGCCGTAACTGTATGAAGGTGATGATATAATCTTATTACCTGAAAACTGGCCTGAACTCTTCCTGGGTTGTAACTTTACTTACTGTAAAAACCAGACGATTTGGGACAGTTAGGGCTATCCCTAACAGTCCTAAATCCTCTAATTTCAATATGATTTTACATACATCCTATGGGGTTAGAGTTTAATGGTCCACACAATGCAATTTTTTACTACAGTGCTCGGGGAAAATAAACTTTGTGTTCCAAGTAACTTTGTAAGCTATTTTGGCATTTCTGCGAAACAGCTCTTGTTTTCGTTAACATTTTCTTTCTTTTTTTTTTGCTTTTTCGCAAGTTGCGATAGATTCTTTTTGTTCTTTTTTTTTGGCTTTTTCGCAAGTTACACTCTTTAAGTCCCCAAACTACAGAGGGTCTAAGAACAACATTGTCATGATGTCATACGGTGTCAGCTGACATAACATTGAAAGGGCAAACTTCAAAGTCTTATATCTCCTGAAGGACATTTCCGATTTGGTTGAAACCTTGCAGGTATCTAGAAAGGGAAGTGCAATAGACAAAATTGACCTCACGTGATAATGACGTCATCAAGTAACCAATCACATTACATTAAAGGTGCACTCTTTTAAGCAATGTTTCTTGTGAAGTTCTTATCCATTTGGGTTCAAACCTTGCATTTATCTTGAAAGGGAAGGGCTTCGGACGAATAATGACCTGATGTGATAATGACGTCATCAGCAGACAAGTCACGTGACATTAAAGGTGCACTCTTTTAAGCAATGTTTCTTGTGAAGTTCTTATCCACTTGGGTTCAAACCTTGTATTTATCTTAAAAGGGAAGGGCTTCGGACGAATAATGACCTGATGTAACGATGACATCATCAGCAGACAAGTCACGTGACATTACAGGTGCACTCTTCAAAGCATATATAAGCTATATCTCATGACGTACATATTCGATTGGTTTCAAACCTTGCAGAACTCTTGAAAAGGAAGAGTTTGAGACAAACATTGACCTGATGTGGTAAGGACTTAATGATGTGACTAGTCACATCACATTAAAGGTACATTCTTTACAGCCCTATATCTCGTGAACTACATGTCTGATTGGGCTGAAATTTGGTAGATAGCTAGAATGAGAAGTGTTATAGACAAGGTGACATGACGTAATTCTAATTTGTTGTATCTCCTTATGTGCGAAAGGGTTCGAATATTTGTTAAATGAGGTTACCAAAACATTATCAGCAACTTTGGGAACACTTGGATAGATGTTTAATTTAAGTGAAAAATCCAAATATGGTGGTATCCCAAATGAAGAATGTCCTTTTCTTAAGAAAAAAAAAACTTAAAAGCCCTCTGCTCTGTCCTTGAGACAGATAAAACCTCCAGTTAGCTGTTTTGGCAACTGCCGGATGAGCTATTGCTTTTCTGATTTTTTTGGCTTTTTTGCAATTTTGCGAAAAAGGCATTCTTTTTGTTCTTTTTTTTTCTTCTTCCTCTTTCTTCTTCTGCTCACAAGCCCATTTGTTTTGTACACGTTTTTTTCTACCAGTCACTTTAGTGCTTTTGCAACTTTGGATTATCATCAAACTTATACCAATGATGAACCCTTACGCACGGATGGTCCTAGAAACATGACGTCATTCTGTAATTTATTATCAATTTTTACATATCCATTTTAGGCCATTGACTTTGTACACGTTTTTGAGGCACTATTTTAGTACCTTAGTAATCGTTGATCATCATCAAACTTGCAGCAAGTACTATAAAACAAAGATACTTCTGAATTATTTATGTCATGATGACATCATCACGTGATTTATTATTAAATTTTGAATATTTAAATATTCCAGTAAATTTATAAAAATCCATATAATATTGACCCTGGCCTCCCGCAACATTCTGTTTGCAGCAAGTGCCAGGATAAAATGTGGTCTTCAATTCATCTCGTGTGGGTCAAATCATGTGACCCCTCCTTCCGGTCGAAACAGGAAGTGGTCTTATTGTTTAAGAAAGGTAATAGGTATAGAGTTAATTATATATAACAGGTTTTGCCCTTACCCAACGTATATTAATAAGCACTGTATGCTCAGTGCTTGTCCGAGAGCTTGCAAAAAAACCTAACAAGCTTACCCGGGTGGGACTCGAACCCACGACCTCCTGCTTACTAGTGCAGATGTCTTAGCCACTCGACCACCGAGCTTGCCGGGGTCGGCTGGCCGGTTCAAGTCAAATGAAGCAGCGGGTACTCATCAAAAAAAAAAAAATACATCTTGAAAATAGTTCACGGACCCTGATACAAGAATTATTGTAAGTAAATGACATCATGATGAGGTAATCATGTGATTAAGTATTAATTTTTCAATATTTATTTCAGCCCATTGACTTTGTACACGTTTTCAAGCCAGTATTTGGGTTAGTTTGAAAGGTTTGATCAACTTCAAAGTTACAGACAACAAAGACAACAAAATTTTGATAAATATATAACGTTATGATGATGTCATCACAAATTTTTTCATTGATTTTTGGATATTTTATCTTCCCCATACATGTAGGTTGTGTACACAATTTTCAACAGCCTGTCCTCGGCACTTCGGTAAATCTGAATTATTTCCTTCAATGTACACTTGAAGTCCCTAATGAAAGGAGCCTCCCAAAAAAGAATCGTCAAAATAACTTCTTCAGGGGTCCAAAGACATGAGATTAAAGCTACAGTTTTCCCCAAAGGTTTTGTACACATTTTTCTGCTACGAAATATTATCGATCTTAATGAGAGTACTTTGAGTGAACTTTGGCTAAGAATTGCTATGAGAACAAAAAAAAAAGTGTTTTTTTTCATCTCTATTTGACCCAAGAGTCTTAATATCAAATAATATTTCATAATTTTCTTTCAGTTCAAATGCAAATCACATGACATCTTAAAGGAGCAGCTTTTTTTGCATAGGTGTTTTCAGTCCCTTGACTTTTTACACATTTTTGAACCACTTTTTTGATGCCTTCACAATGTTTGATCGCTATGAAAGTGACAGCCAACAAAGACCCTCATGCAAGAAGTACTGTAAATAAATGACGTAATGATTACATCATCATATAATTTACTATTGATTTTTCAATGGTTGTTTCAGCCCATTGACATTGTACACATTTTCAAGCCACCATTTGGGCAATTTTCAGAGGTTTGATCAACATTAAAGTTACACACAACAAAGACCCTCATGAAAAAAAATTCTGAAATTTATGACGTCATCACCAAACAGAAACTTCCAAAATAGCTCAATGGCTGTTCACAACCACGTTCCTCTATTTTTTGTTGATTTTTTAATAATTAATCCTTCCACCATAGCACTTTGGAAAATCAGAATGGCTTGAAAGTTGCAAGATAATTGGAAAATCATCCAAAGATGGTCACACAACAAATTCACAATGATGGCATCATCCGTTTATTTTTTTTAATTTTTGAACATTTAATTTTCCCCCATATGATTTGTACACGTTTTTCCAAGCCCTATATCTTCTGAATTCCATACCCGATTTAATTGAAACCTTGCAGACAGATAGAGAGGGAAGTGTTACGGACAAAAATTGACCACATGTGATGATGATGATGTCATCACGTGTTTTATTATTATAATCCAATATTTCATTCTTTCCATTGACTTTGTACACAGCTATCTCGATAGATGTTGTGCATGTACAATCTTGCTGAGTTGTCTCAACTTCAGCTAAGGATTACTATGGGCTAAGGAAAGCGTAAAATCAGAGCGACTTCAACCTTTTCAATTTTTGTCTTTTTTAAAGGGTATCTTGGTGTCTTTCTGCTTTTTATGGTAATAAAAATTTCCATATTTATGAGCGAAACTCTGATATCATTACAAAGAGAAGACTCAATGTTGCTCTGATTTGTGCACGAAAAATGGATAAAAATTCGATATTTTGTCATTACAAATGACATCATAGCAGCAGCAAACTGTTGTCAGCAAAAGCATGGACAATTTTAAGTATTTAAAAATGGGCATTCGTCAATACAATTTTTAACCATAAAGGATGCAAAAAAATTTTCGTGCACTGAGAGAATAAAGTTGCACAAACAAGCGTGTCGTGTCCAAAGAAACTCCATCTCCTGGAACCTTTAAACTAACCCTTTGCAGCAAAGAAAATTTAACCTACAAATAACACAAATGTGCACAATTATGCTATTAGATTGGAACCCAACAAAATTTGTTTTGTCAAGGTACAGGTACATACTTTTGAGTCAGCTGACAAACACAAGCAATCTAGAAGAGCAAACTAACCTTTGCATCTTGAGCATCAATTGGACATTTCATACTGTGCAATAAAACCATAAGGTTATCACAGCGGTTGGCTTTTGAGGCAACCATGACTAGGGTCAACCCATCGCTGTCAACAATACACAAGTCAGATGGGAAGATAACTCTTGGAGTCAGGTTCCCCTGAAAAAAAATGGAAAGGTTGGTTAAAGACCTGGAATATCTAGACGTATCAGATGAAAGTTCATAAAACATACATAAAATTTTAACAAAAGTCTATCACATTTTCAACAGAGTGACTGGGTAGGAGGTTACAAGGTTATTGGTAAATCTTGTGACACACCAATACTACAAAAACTGAAGTCTGTGTGGAAAAAATAAATTTTAGCAGGGGTCTATGTCTGCTCAAGAACAGAACATGGGACTTTTACGCAATGCAAGTTGAATTTGTGTAGTTATATACAGTATTTATGAAGTAATATACATGTATATTCATGAATAATGATGTGAAATACAAGTAAATTTCATATTGATGAGACTTGTAATTCTGAAAGTGTATAAACCTATGCACATTGCATGTAGATTGAAAAGTGACCAAAAATTGCCCCAAGAAAAACATGTCTGAAATCAATTTTTTTTGTGTAAATATTTGCACACGTTTGCACGCATTCCCTACAATTCTGCACGTCCTCCAATTCACCCCCATTCCAAAGGGCACTTCAGAATGCGTTCCTACACCGTTCTCTGGCATGAGTCATTTAGAGGGTGTTGTTATGTTAACTGTCCATTCCTTTATGTGCAAGAATGGCAACATCACAACAAAGATGCTAAGAACCTACAACCTGTTCTTGAGTTTGTTGTTTGCCATTAAGCATTGACAGGGTTTGGTCCGATAAGATTTATTCCTCCCTCTTATGAACACGTACTGACCCTTTGATGTACCAAATTCTTACAATTTATACATTCTTGCTTAAATGTTTATACCAGAGATGAATATAAAAAAGCCTGCCTGGTCAAGTTCTCAGTTCAAGGATAATTTAATATTTTGGCAATATTAATGTGGTTGGCATGGCATCGAGGTGGACAGAGGTGTTAACTGTGAGAGGTCCAGATTTCAAGAAAGAAATACAGATAAGTGACAGGTTAATATTTTTGGCAGCATAAATACATGTTCCCGTGTGGGGGAAAAACAAACATGTGGTCCATGCAGAGATGGGCAGCATTGGGCCAGGTTTGTTTAAAAAACTCTCATGGCCAAGGTTTGGATAGAGAAATGCTGAGGTAGGAAGAATATCTGTTGACAGGTTGGTTGCTCCAAATGAAAAAAAAGTGCAGTGGAGCAGGGAAAAAATAAACCCTCATAGTCCAGGTTTGGATAGAGAAATGCCGAGGTGGGGAGGAATTAATATTTAGGGTGGATGGACAAGAAAAGCTAAGGTGGGCAGGACTAACTTTTTTTATGAACTATATGTTTGTATTGACAAAAAAATAGCAGTGAACAGGAAAAACTAAAAACCATACATAGTCTCGGTTTGGATTAAAAAGAAATGTAACAGAGGGCAGGATTAATATTTTTAATGGGTTGAGTGCTCAGGAAAGACAATTTTTGGTGGATTGGGGAAGAAAATAAAGCCACAGGTAATCTGGGTTTGGATGAAGAAATGCTGAGGATTTTTGGCAGGTTGGCTGCTCGGAATTTTAAAAAGGGCGATGGGTCAAGGAAAAAAACACATGTGGTCTTGGTTTGGATAGAAAAGAAATCCTGAGGAATAACAAAACTTTTTGGGGTGGGTTGGGTGAAAAAAAAGTGCATTGGTGCAGGTAACAAATAAAAACCCTCACTGTCCCGGTGAGGAGGGAGGTCCCCCCAGCCGTGAGATGATGCGTCGGTTGTTATTACCACAGCTGGTTTGGGCCGCAGGAATGGTAGCCTACCAATGGTAACCACCAAAGAAGATGATGTCGAACATCGTCCGATAAGGGAACCACATGACTGATTGGATACCGTTTGGGTTGATAACAGGAGAGCAGATGAAGCTGAAGAGGTCTCATGCGAAGCCTGCACCATAGTATCAGGTCGACCATACTCACTATCAGCCCAAGGAGATGAAGCCACGCGAGGGCTGGAGGAGATTGGGTTGAGTGAAAAAGGGATACGCACTCTCGGAGGTTGGTGATGTGATGCTCCAAGGTAAGTCGGGGACTGAGATGGAGACAGTCTTGACTGTTCTCAAATGATGATGAAGCTCAGGCGAGAAGAAAGGTCATAGGTTAGACGAGTTGATGCATAGACCTACGATCAGCCAGTCGTCCAGGTACTGGAAGATCAGCACGTCCAGCTGACATAGATGGGCGGCGACAGTCTTTGCAACCCGAATGAAGACCCTGGGGGATGTCCAAAGACCAAATGGTAGGGCCGAAATTCGTAGACTTGACTCTAGTGCATGAAGCGGAGAAACTTGCAATCCGCCTTGTGGATGGGAATGTGAAGATATGTGTCCCCGAGGTTGATTGTGGATGCCCAGGACGGCATTGGGATGGAGTGTACTACTGTCAGTAAGGTCTCCATCCTGAATTTCTTGGGCCAAATGTACTTGTTGAGTGGCTTGAGATTGATTAGTGGTCGCCACTTGTTGGTCCCCTTCTTTGGGGTAAGAAAGAAGGGGGACAGAAAACCTTTTGTCTTGCGATTGGGAAGGACATAACTTACAGCATGTTTCTGAAGCAGGGAGTGAAGTTCGGCCTCCAGGGCCAGGCATTTGTCTCTTTTGCATGGCACCGGGGTCAAATGTAATATCACCTCGAATGGAGGGGTACTTGTGAACTTGAGGGAGTAGCCGTGAGCGATAGTTGCCAGGACCCATTTGTCCGAGGGGATCTCTCGCCAGAACCCTGTGAACTTTCTTAGACGGCCACCAATGGGTTCGAGATCAGTGGTCATGGACCGTGGAATGGCGCAATCGGCAAAGATCCTCGGCTCGACCGTGGCTGGCTGGGCTTGGTGGAAACACTGCTTGAACCTCAACATTAGGTCGGTTGAGGGAGCAGAGGATGAAAGGAGTGAGTCCTGGGTGGCAGTGGCTTAGGATTCTGAGACTGACGTGGCTGAGTTTGCCGCAAGGCTGGAGTCATCGGTTCCATGAAGGAGAGCTTCTTGGTGGTGTCAATACACTTGGCTTCAGCCTTGAGAGATTCTACAAACTTGCCGGCAAAGAGGTCCTTGCCAAAAAGTGGGAGATCTTGAAGTCTAGATTTTACACCTTCATGGGGAATATGCATTGCCTCTAAGGCACTGGCACTGGTAGAGGAAGCCAGGCAGGAAATCCAGGTGAATTGCTCAAGGTGAGAGCCAGGCCCTCGTCGAGGCCCCAAAGCGCCAGGGCCGCAAAATCTGGGGACACTGGCGAGTTCTCCTCGCAGGCACGTGCGATGTATTCCGCGAGGAGGAGGAAAGCCGAACAGCATAGATCGAGACAAGTAGCCTTGTCAAGTTTAACCAAGGCTGTCTCCAGGCGAAACTTGTCACCATCACGGAAGATCGACTTCAGGGGAGGCTTACCTGAGTCAGCGGTGATTTTGTCCCTAGCTGCCTCGCGAATCTCCGATATCGATAGGAAGTTGTCGTGGTTCTTTGGTCAGGAAGTGGTAGTAAGCCAGGGCCCTAGGAGGATAAGGGCACCAGCGAGCGGCCTTGCTAATTGAATTGAAGATCTCATGCATGAGCATAACAGCAGAATTTCTGGGAAAGTTGGACCCGAAGATTCCAGTCTGGTCAAGTAGCGTTTGAAGGAGGCGTGACTGGTGTCCGTTTCAGGGGGAGACGGAGCTCAGAGGCTGAGGACCTGGATCACAACACGTTGAAGGAAATGAAAGCCGGGCCTCAAGGAGGTGAAATCGCCCACCAAATTGGTTTCGTCTTCTCAGGACGATTGTGCTGCGGCTCAGACTGAAGTGTAGTCATGCCAGGGTCAGATCCGTGGGTGCTCCCATACGTGACAGAATGTTTTAGAAGGGGAACAGCAGCTTGAATAAAGCCTCAATGATTCCATGCTCTGAGTAGTTGGCCGTGACTGCAAGGCAGGTTGAGGCTGCATGAGCCGAGAGCGGAAAGTCCAGGTCCGGAGCGGTGAAACCCGGTGCCGGTTTATTGCTGAGAGAGCGGACTAGGGAGGACAGAGATTTGTTTAGAGACTGGAACGCTCTCATCCATGGTTCAGGGGAGCGTTCACGTTGTTTAGAATGACGTTTATTCTTGGCCTTCGAAGCAACTGATGGAGGAGAAGAACGCTTGCTCTCTGGTCTGGAATGCGTGAATCAGCAGCTGATGCAGTGGGTAAGGTCGGAGGTTCATCCCCTGGGGGGCAGGCGGGAGCTTGGCTGGACGCCGTCTTCTTGGGGCGAGGAGCCAGCCAAGGAAGTTCCCGGTTTTCCAGGGATACCAAGCTGGAAGCCTGAGCCGCTGATGGGTTGTGGAGGTCGGAAGCCACGGCAGCGTAGTAGTCCGGTAGGCTCCGTGGTGCCAGGTGGGTTCTTGTTGGGTGTCCCGGCACCCTGGGCTGAGGAGTCATCTGGTGGGCCTGACCCGGTGGAGCGTAGGGAGCCCGTCCTGGTGTTGTTGGTATGAGGCCAACCGGGTGTCGGTTGGCCGGTACTACTGAGGATGCAGCCTTGCGTGTAGCAGAGCTACAACGGCTGGTAGCCATTGCGGGTGGCGGGGGAGAGGAGCCCCATTGGTCCGCTGGCTTTTGTGAGCCATGGGAGTTCAATCAGCTGACTCGTTGCGTCTTCGACGGTCGGTGGGGGTGCTGGCTCAGTTGACTAGGCGGTCTGTTGGAGGGCAGAGAGATAGAATGGTTATAAGTCAGAAATTTAGCATCATGGTTAAGGCTGGAGTCCTCGCCTGAGCTGCTTAGGAAACGGAGCGCCCACTTATGTGGCTTGGCCTTGCCCTCATTCCGTAAGAGATCAGAGCTCATGCGAACAATGCGGGCTCCCGTGCACAACTGTCGAGCAGGAGGCACATCCCGTTAGGGACCCACCCGCTCGCGGCTAAGGCCTATATCCTCGTCAGAGCCACATATACGGGTGAAACATCCATGCAGCTCGGCCTTGTCCCCATCTTACTGCATGTTGAGAATTGCCCACTTAATCCACAATGGCTGATTAAACAAGGGAACACCCGCTCAAGCACTTAAAAGGGAAGAACCGCTAAAATTACAATCTGCCCTCTCATGCAGCTAGGATTGTGTGGATTAAATGGGCCGCTAACATGCGAATGCGCCCACTCATGCCCCCTAGCCTATAGGGAGTGAAGGGTTGACCATTCCTCGTAACACAGAATGCACACACAAACTAACAAAAAGAGAAAAGGGTACCAAAAAAAAAGGAAATACCACTCTTACCAACAAGAATGAAATCACACAAGGTAAAGGTTTATTCAGAAAAGACGACTGGATGATTAAACTCATTAACAAACACCCAGTCTCAAACCTTTATACAATGTGTATCTTTTTTGTTGATAAGAAGAAAGGCCTTGTTTTGTGGAATGTAGTGCTTAATAGACAGTGCTTTACTTCAGAGAATTGAAAAGAATTGTGTTACGCAGAAAATTGGCCCAACATTTTCCCTGCCGTTGTTGTTTGCGAAGAATGTTATTTCCTAACCATGGACGGTTGTTAGTACACCATTCCTGTTTCGGGAACTTCACATTTCTTCGCAAATGCTTTGTGCCACAGACATCTTGCCGTGTGCACAGACCGTGACAGGCCTTTTGTTGTAGAGGAATGCGAGGGAACTAGAGGGCCATTTTCTTGTGGGCCCACTAGAGGTAACTCAAACAAAAGAATGTGTTCCGCGCATTCGCACGCTGACAAACGTTCCATGTATTTTTTAGTCCACGCCTCACATTATCCAATGATTATTACATTATCAATTGTATAATGGGTGAGGCCAGCACTGTTTAACTTATACTTAGTCAAGGCGACCAGTAAGAAAGTACAAGATTCTCCAAGTGTGATGCTCCCAAACCATACTCAAATGAATACAATCCAACCAACTGTATCCAATTGTTACTGTAACGAGAAAAAGGTAGAGTTAGAAATGTGCTATAATCAAATTATCCCTCTTTATGTAAACTAATAATGTATTCATTATAGGATACCTTCTTTGCTAAATAGCTGAGATGTTGACTACGTTGGAACCGTAGGTTTTCTATGATGTCACTGCATTCCAGATTTCCAACCCTCTTTGCAATATCATCAGCTCTAAACCCAAATCCATCTTCCACATTCAAGTCGGCATCTCTTCTTACAAGACATCTGAAAATGAAAGGAGTATTTTAAGTTTTAATAAGTTTTGAAAAAAGATCATCTTATCACAATCTTTACAAGCTTACAAGAAAGTGCTGTCTAGGTACACTTTGTAAATACTATGTGACGAAAATGTTTTGGTTTCACGAACTGACGCGGAGGTTTTCGTCTGGCACTTTGCACACTAATATGAAATATAAATATGTCTGGAAAACTGGGGTTTTATAATTATCTGTGTAACGTTATCTTTTACATTCATGGTTAACCTTAAAGAATTAAACTACAGGCGAATTTCAGGGTGGACTACTTCCATTTCTGCAACCAAAACTATTAAAAATTGCCACAAAAAGTGATGAAAACTTGCCTTAATACAGATTAAAAAAAATATTTACAGATGACAGTTTTCAAAAGTACTGGACAACTCATACCACTATGTACAACACTAGTCAGGTAATCACAACATGAAAAGGTTGAACAATGTCAATATATCCCATAATAAACAAACATAATGTGTCCACTGGGGCAAGTTAGAAACCTTGCCGTACGGGAGGAAATTTTGTGGAAAAACTCTTGCGAGAGATTCAACCTTAAACTAAATGTATGAACACAGAAAACACATATAAAAACAAGAGATCAAGTTCTGTGAATTGAATTAATCCGCAGAAATTCTTCTTGCTTCATCAGTGTTTTTCAATGGGCAATTGCTGAGCAGTGTGTGTGTCATCATTGTGTAGTGCAGAGACATTACAGTATTTGGCTGGGATATGTAAGCCGGTTGAGGCATTTTCATCATGCCTTCTTTGGCATTGGTGCAGCATGGCAAAAACTAGTACCGTATTGCTTCACAGCATGCAGTACTGTTGCGGATACATTTTCATCACTGTGATTGCGAACTAGACTGCTAAAGGGACTTGTGAAAACAATATATTTTTATCAATTATTGATCAAATTATTTATAAGCAGCAAATCTGGCAATAGATTGTGCCCTGCGTTCATTTTAGGTGTTTGGCAAAAGGGATAGCATTACTGTGGATAGTAGCTTCCTGCTGCACCATATCTGCATAACATGTACATGTGCAAATTGGGATCCTCTTATGAAAAAAAAAATGGCCAATCAGGAGCCGCAAAATGTTGACCAATGGCAAAGAGGGCTTGGAGGGACAACCATCCAACCGATAAAACCTGGCCAGAAGAAAATTAGAAGTTGGGTTGGTTCTTTTCTCTTTGAAGTTGAAACTTTGGGCGGGAAGGAAAAGTTGCCGTATTGTCACTTTTGTCTCAGCCTATGAAGGAGCAACACCTACACTCAGATTCTTCTACAAATTTTTCCCACCACCTTCTCCTTCCCCCTCCTTGAATTTTAAATCGGATAAAATACCCCAATAGTTGCTGAATGATTTGACATTATGAAAATTAAAATAATACATAGATTAGATAAAGTTCATTGTGATGCATTAAACTTGATTGAGTAGCTAGTGTCTAATTGGTTGCTGTAATCATGTCTTCCCTTTAGTAAGTGCAAAGAAAGAAACTGGTGTCAGGAACTCATGTGTTGACTGTGCATATGTACATAATAATTATTACAGCTTGGTGAAGTTATGAAGTCTTCTAGCACTGTCCTATCGAATTGTCGCTTCAGCCTATTATAACGTCATTGTCATTGAGCTCTGGTGCTCCAAGTCAAGTGGTGTTTAGAGAGTTGATGCTCTTTGGTCTTGGCGGAGGCCCAAACAGTGAATAATGATAAACATGGCATCCCAAGACAAATGGTACTTTGAACTATGGGCACTTTGGGCCTTTGTGGGTGCTCAAAGCATTCATGTAGAATGGATGCTTTGAGTCAAATGTGTTTGGAGCAATGTTTCTCGGCCTTTGATGAGGATGAGTCAGCTGCCCAGATTTCGGTGCCCAACATATTATGATGAAATAAAATCAGTCTGACTGAGGCGTGCACACACACACACTGGTATGGTTGTCTTTGTGTGAAGTTCATTTTGTCTGCTTATAACAAAAGTTTGTTCTCAAAATTGGCAAATACATAAATACAAGTGTCTTTAACATGAGAAAAGTTTTGATGAAGCATTTATTCTTTTATTCCCAATTTAGTTATTTTTTTCAACATGATGATAAAATGTTAAGGTCACGCAGAAAAATTTGGGTCATTTGGCAAACCAGAAGGACAACTATTTTCTGGCCTTAGGGCATGGAAAAACACCAAATTTAAGGAATCATGATGCACCAAGGTAGTGAAACATGCAGGCGGGAAACTATTTTTGCAAGGCGATCCTTTCAACAAACGGACCAACGAACCATTACTGACTGTGTGTGCCAATTTCAGCCAGTCATGATCCAATATGCCAGTTTCTCTGTGTGAATATTCTCTGTGATTTCATCTGCACATTCTTTGTTGGCCCATGTAATCATCATTGACACAAATTGTTCATCTGCTTGGCTCAGAGGTCCCTTGAAAACAATATTCTGGCCCACACAGCGGAACTTTCAAGGAACTTTTGTTAGGTCTGTGCAGTTACCTTTGAAGAATAATTATGCCTACTCACAGCAACATGAAAAAAAAATTATTATTCGCATGCTTGGCATGTGCTCTGAGCACCAAACCGGAAAACTGTAATATTGTAACTAGTAAATTGGTCAGTTATCCATAAGAAATGAATTGAAACTACAGGCTCAAATATAAAGGTTTTGATTCTCATAAACTGGCACAAAATCCTTTGTCACTCCATCTGTTTACCTATGGAACACAACAGCAATTGACTAAAAATCTTTCTAATGTGGGAAATTCAGCAAAGTTTCAGTCTGTGAAAACAAAAATGATCCCGAGTACACACCACACAAAAAATATGCGGAAAAAGAACAGAACAAAGACCTGTTAACAATGTTGTGCCATTACATGTACACAGAGCTATATCCATCAATCTGCCGAGACACAGTGAACCAAACAGATGTCATACGGTCAGACGAATGGTACAAGGAAAGGGCACATCAAATCCATTCAAACTACAGCCTGGGTTAAAGGGTCTTGAACACTATTTGTACATACTTATTGTACTGTCTTGCTGTACCACAGAAAACAGACAGGTTTTGCTGTCATCAGATGTCATACCTTTGGCAGGTGCCGTGCTAGGTAAATAGGGGAGTGTTTACATGTATATTATGAAAACGGTCAGGAAAAACAGTACCTTTCCTCGGTAGGATGGCCAAGAAAATGGTATATTCTTTGTTTTGTGTGTTGTATTGTTTCTGCCCCTCAATTTTTGTTGCCTTTTCAGCAAACAAGTATTTTTGTTAAGATATCCTTTATTTTTTCTTGCAATAAGACACCCCATGTTTTTGTTCTGTACCCCACCTGAGGTCTTTTTCAAACCTGCTTCCCTTAAGACTTTGATGAAATACTTCAGCTCCAATTCATATAACATGCTAAAATGGAGAGGCAAAAGTTGTTCAACTTTTCAAACATCACAGTTCAACTTTCAATGGTCATACTCATACTTTCTAAAGTCGTTCTTCAACTTTCAAAGGCTGTGACACTTCATGTTTCAATCATATTTCAACTTTCAAACATTGTACTTCTACTTCATTCTCCCCCCTCCCCACTTTTCAAGTCACTGACTATATGTACTCCCGTAACCTGCACCATTGATGCCACACTTGCCGGCGTCACGATCTCACCTTGGATGGAGGATGTACTGACCTTTCAGAAATCATCCTCTACAGTGTTTGAAAGTTGAACCACACTGTTCAAAAGCAGCTGAACCATGAAAATTGACAAGTTTATTTATTTATTTATTATTTCAAAATATGGAGGGCCCTGACATTTCGATCCCAGCAGAATCTTTCTCAAAGGCAATATGACAAGTGGACAGGACAAACAAGTAAATGGGGAATCAACCAAGCATGGATAAATGCAAGAGGACAAAAGGAGAGATCAAGAAAGCTGCAGGCTGGATAAAGGGGCAAGGGCTGAAGGGGACTGCACGAAAGACATGGTTACGCAACAAAGGGGTGTAAGATGGTAAAGAGATCAAAGAAAAATACAATGGAAGGAACTGGACCCTGCGTGTGTGGGGGATAATCTGCAGGCAAAAGAGAGGGAAAGACAAGAGTGTTAATAAGGCCATGGGGTTGTATGGTGCAGAGGCATTTGATCCAAAGCTTCTCCCTGTTGAAGCGAACAGCATCTTTATGGTGCCCAAGTGATTCTATGCCCTGTAAGATCATGTCAGACATAGAATGGTAAGGAAGGCTGAAGTGGTGGCCCACTTCGTTTGGTGTTGACTGTAGATCTATGGCCTTAGAAATGCTTCTTGAGAGTGATCTTAGTCTCTCTGACATACTAAACACTGCAATGTCATGCTATTTAATGTCAACAAGCATCAACACAAATAAATAATGTCAACAAGGCATCAACAACTTGAAAATATCCTCTAATGGTTTCCAAGTGGTTTTATTATATTTTGCAGACTCTAACATGTTCCAATGAGTAAGAAAAACTGGGAATTTTATTCCAGATTCACGCAAGGAAATGAAAATTTTTTGCCATGTAAGGGGGCCGCCATCTTTCTTTTCTGTGCCTTTCACGCAAAAACAAGATGGCAGCCGGTTTGGCTGCATGACCAGAACCGACTTTGTCACTCAACTTTCTACACTCAGATATCATTTTAGATAAATGTGATACAGTGAATATGATATGTTGATATCCAGTTTATATTGTACATATAATTTTTTTGCATAAATATGCTTGAATAACTTATTCACACTTTGTTGACGCTACTTCATGCTTGTTGATGCTAAACAGCATGACCCACATTGCACCTTGCAAGAGATAAGATTTATGACAATAGAAGAGCTACAAGTGACAGTGCCTTTGGTTCCGTGGGTGATACCGGAGGAGTGTCCAGAGAATGTATCTGATTCCAGGACATGGTTCTGGCAAAAAAATACATCTATTAGATTCAAACTTGAACGTGCCTGCTGGAAAGGGGAAAGGTATCCAAGGGGGACACCTCTGCCCAAATGATAAGGTCCCGTAGGTTGCGGGGACGCCTGTACTATAGCCACAAGCAGGTGTCTGGGATGGCACTGGCAAGGTGGTCTGAAGTGTAGAGGATATGATGATTGTTGATTATTTTGCAAAGGGGAGGAAGACAAGGATGAAAAGTGGTGACCAAGGGAATGTGGGGATGGTGACCAAGGGAACGTGGGGATTGTTTTTTAACCCTAAGCCCCTTGGGTGTATGTAAAATCATATTGAAATCAGAGGATTTGGGACTGTTAGGGCTATTGGGGTCTCCTCCTTGAGTGCAAGACTTCTATGGCCCGAGTGGGCACTATTGATAGAGTGTTGAATCTGGTGATAGCCGTGCCCCCTTGCAATCAAATGCCTTTTCAGTTCCTGTGTATGACGGGAGAAATCTGAATCATTGGAACAAATGGGCCTTAGTCTGAATCCTTGGCTGTACACAATACCAGTCTTGCAGTGTCTAGTTATTTGTTATTTTTGGGAGGATTATTGGGCTTTTCCTCTTATTTTCATCTGCTCACAATTTTTGGTATTATTCAAGTGAGGAAGGGGAAAAGAACAATCTGTCAACAAACACAAATGCCCTATAAAGCATCCTGTTCTTGTTTCAGACAAAGTGACTTTTACCCTTGACCTTTCAGACTTGAAAGCAAAAGGCTTGTTAGGATCACCAAGACACCACAGAAGCCAAATTGAAGTTTCTGCTATTTCTCTGAAGAACACCCTTTCTCTCCTTCACCTGAAAAATACATTGTAGTGATATGGTTTTTGCTTCATGGCTAAGTATCACTAAGAGTCCCGACCCACAAAAATGTGTGGGAGGAGTCTCCTGCGTTAACATACCCCTGTCCAGCCTACATATGCAGAGTGGCACCGTACCATGGAGGAGGGTCGGCAACAGGAGAGTAGTTACTAGAGAACATAGGCAGGCATCGCCCAAGTGAACACTCACCAGAGAAAGAGGTATCTACGATGAAGAATTCATTATTCACTGTGGGATGGCACTGGATGCTGTCCCAACCACAAGGTTGCTGCACCATGAGCCGTCTCGCTCTGCAGGACATCCTTCAGATAGCACTCGGTGAAGGTGGAGGACGATTTCCAGCAGGCTGTCTGGCATATATCCACCAGGGAGAGGCCTCGGAAGTATGACCAGGATGAGGAGGGGGCCTGAACATCATGGGCTCTGACATGAGAACAGGTCGTTTCGTCATGCCGAGTCGGCCAGTCCTGGTTTGCGAAGATGATCGCCGAGACTGTCCATCGAGCAATAGTGTCCTTTACTGCTGGATGAAAGGGCTTTGTGGTTGTGATGAAAAGTCTAGAACCAGGCTCCCGGCAATGCTTGGTCCTGGTGAGGTACCACTTGAGAGTACGAATCGGACACCATTTTTTGTCAGAGTTATCTATGTCGGGGACAAATATGCCAGGAGACCGGAAGGCAGGCGTCTGGTTCTTTGTCAGGAACTCAATGGCTGAGATAAGGCAAACCCCGTGCAATTCCCAGTGGATGTGACCTTCAGCAGTTGACAAAGCATGTAGTTCGCTGCTGTGTCTGGAGGTAACAACCGTCAGGAGGAATGACAGTTTGATGCTGAGATGGAGATCAGATGCATCAGAAAGGGGCTCAAAGGGGGACCGGCAAGCACAAGCATGACGCTCCCAAGGTCCAAAGACAGAATGAGGCGTTTAACGTAAGGACGCTCGGCAAACATTCCCTGGAGGAGATGGTAGATGGCAGCATTATCAGAAACCGTTAGTCCATCACTGAACCCAGAATGAACAGCTGCCAAGGCCGGCCAGAAATTGCGAATGGTGGCAATCTGGAGGGCCAAGTGGAATAGTTACATGTACATGAAAAAGTCTGCGACAGAACTCACAGGAGCTTCAGTTAGAGAAGCATCGTGATTGTCCCACCATCTGGTTAAACATTGTAGTCAGCTGTTGTAAATTTTGCGAGTTGACAGTTGTCAACCCTGGGCTGTCATGGATGCAGTGTCCGCAGAAAGGCCTGACGCTCTGCAGGATCATTGGATAATGTCCAGTACATGAAGTGAAGATCCCCTGGTGCTGGATAGAGGACCCCTGGCTTGGATTGACGAAGAATGCCCTCCCTGGGTGGAAAGACCAGTGGCCATCGTATCAAGAGTCTAGTTAGTCTCGGAAACCATGGTTGGCGAGGCCAGAACGGGGCAATGAGGAGGACCCGACATGGCACCAGCTCTATCTTGGACAGGACGCGTCCAAGGCATATGCAAGAAGGCCCTACCAGTCGAACTGTAGGGCGCCTGTCGCCTATGTCTGTGGGTGAGGGAACCTGGAGCAGAACTTCAGAAGATAAGTTTTGTTGGTGGAAGTGAAGAGGTCAATATGGGGAATCTTCGTAAAGATATGGCAGACCATGTTTGGGTGAAGAATTCACCCTGTCCGTGGGACGGCACCCCGAGATAGTGAGACTGCTAGGCTGTTGTTTGTACCTGCTATGTGGACGGCCTGGAGGGTGATCTCTTGTTCATTTGTCCACATGAAGAGAAGTCACAGATGGGCACAGCATTGAGGGGAGCGAGTGTCGCCCTGGTGGTTGATGTACGTCGCTGCCGTGGAGTTGTTGCTCTGGACTCGAAAGGAACGACCCACTAGGTGTTGTCGAAAGTGTTGAAGAGCATTATACACCACTTGGATCTCTAACTTGTTGCTTTATTTGTCTTCAAAGGCAGTGTCCCAGACCCTGGAGACATGGAGTGGAAGAGCCTACCTGTAAATAGATGCTGAAGTATTCATAATAAGGAAGAAAAGTGAGCCCTGTTACATTTTAGTATGTTCGACGTGGTCATTTGTATCCTGAAGTTGGAGGACAACAGCCATATCATTACGTGCACAGGGAATAAAGATCAATCCGTATGCGCGGCAAAAATACAAAAATTGCAGGTTAAGAGCGACCACAGATTGCACACCGCTCCATAACCAAGCACTTTCAACATACACAGCAGCGCTGAAATCATTTCAATTTAATCACTGGAATAGAGATCACGCATAGATAAAACATACAATCAACAGATACTTGCCAAGTCCGCCTTCTCGTTACAATTACGCTAGGCACAGTCGGAAAGGCAGCGATGACAATCCATTAACAAAAGTAAGCACAAACAGCAGACACACCTTTGTCAGACCTCGTAACAGTCACCGTATGCAAGCTTTGGACACGCCCACTCCAGAACACGCATCCGGAAGGCAATGTGGGGTGTGGCCAGGCCAGGTGAGAGAATATATGGAATATCAGCGAATGAGGGTGGTAGAGGCATGGATACTGGGTTTTGGCGTGATCATCGGTCAGAGCTCCATGGGGGGGTGGCATCTGGAGATCGTGGTTGACTGTTACACAGCTGAATGCCTCCAATGACTCAAGGCGGCTGGCTAAGGAGGACAAGAGGCGGACTGCCGTTATCAAACCTGATGAAGAAATATCCTGCCCAAGTGTAGAACGGAATTTCTTGCATATACACTTCTTATGTGCGGGTAATCTGGTCGCAGAACACAAAGAAAGAACGTACGAGCATGGAACATCAGTAGCAGGTCTTGATAGGTCGAAAGGTGCCAAACCGCCTGAGAAGAAGGAAATACCCTGATCAGATAGCCCTAACCGGTACCCAGAAGCCGCAGTGATGACT